GTCTCTTCTTTTTCTTTTCTTTTTTTTTTTTTTTCTTTTTCTGTGACAGTCTCTGCTGGATATGAGTCTCTTCTGACATTAAAAGAAATAGCCTTTGTCTGTGTTATGTAGTAAATATTACGTCACTTTCACTTTGTTTATGGTATATTTTGCTCTGCAGAATTTAAAAATAATTTTATCTCACTATGTCAATCTTTTCTTTCATGACTTTGAGAGTCTGTGCCATATCTACAGCAGCACTCTTTACTGCAAGATTAAAAATTTAAAAACAAATGTTTCTTTTTTCTTTTCTTTTCTTTTTACACTCAGTGTTTTTGATCCAGCTGGAAATTACGTCAGTGTAATGAGTTAGGTTCGGGATCTAACTAAAAAATTTTTAAGATGCCTACAGTTGTTTTCATATAATTTGTTAAATAATTGTGTATATTTTGCAAATTTACCCTCCACAATAGGAAAATGTGAAACATGGGCTAAAAGTAGGCATGCACAGGGAATAGTGTATTTTACCTGTTCATTTAGAACATGGCAGGACAGTTAAATGAGCAGCATATTCTTGAACATGTTTAAATGTGCTCTCTGTGGTTGTAGGAAGAGATATTTTTTCTCAAATATGTAAGACAGCATTCTTCAGAGGCATGTTTATGCAAAGGAAATACAACAGAATAGTGACATTTTCCAGAACCTATCTGAGATTCTTGCCTGAGATGTAGATTCTGGATGGTCTGTAGCATTCAGCGGGTGACTCTCACCCCTCAGACTCAGCACACTGGCTACCTTCATGCAAAGTGTTCTAACAAGTCTCATGACAACCCTGTTACAAATTACCACGTGTCAAGAGCTTTTGGCTCTCTAGTAAATGATGTTCTCAAAACCCTGATGGTTAAATTCGCTCAGGTTGTGGTTATTTTCTGTTAAATCTGTAATCCATTTGTTCAGAAGACTCAATGTTATATAAATGCTAGTAGAAAAGCTTTATCTTACTAAATAGTATTGAAATATAAGTATTTTGGAGGAGCAGATATCTAGACATGAAAAGAATTATTTTTGTAGTTGCAGATAACAGAAATACCTTACATATGTATGCCATACTTTACAAAAATGCTGTCTGATCCAATATCACATTTGATTTTCTAAAATTCCATACAGTAGATCCATGTCATAACAAGAAAAAGAAGGAAAAAGACATGGGCTGATTTATTAAAGGAAGTAGTTCCCAAAGAATTATATTTTGAATGAATGAGATTCCTTATTCTCTAGTTCAAAAACAAAATCCCATTATCATATGATCTAGCGATCCCACTTCTGGCTATATATCCAAAAGAACTGAAAGCAGGGACTTGAACAGATATTTGTACATTTGTGTTCATAGCAGCAGTTTTCACAATAGCCCAAAGGTGGAAGAAATCCAAGTGTCATCAACAGATGAATGGATGAATGAATAAACAAAATGTAGCAAATGCATCTAATGGGATATTATTCAGCCTTAAAAAGGAAGGACATTCTGACACAGGCTACAACATGGATGAACCTTGAGGACATTATACTAAGTGAAATAAGCCAGACATAAAAAGACAAATATTGTATGACTCCACATATGTGAAGTATCTAGAGCAGTCAAATTCATAGCAACAGAAAGTAGAATGGTGGTTGCTAGGAGCTGGGGGGCAGGAGAAATGGAGAGTATTGTTTAGTGGATAAAGTTTCAGTTTTGCAAGATGAAAAAGTTCTGGAGATTGGATGCCCAACAATGTGAATATACTTAACATACTGAAGTGTACACTTAAAAATAACTACAGTGATAAATTTTATGTTATCTACATTTTCCACAATAAAAAACAAAATCCCTTTCCCAAGTTCCACATCACACAAACCTGTCCAAAAACCTCTTCGTTAACAGTGAAAGTGAGGTCCAGGATATCTGTGATATTGTTGTCCTTCATCCATTGCAAGCTCTGGTGGAATTCCTCGTCCAGATATTCCAGGTCACTCAAGTCACAGGGCCTGGGTGAATTCAAAGGGAGAAAGGCAAACAGAATTACCGAACAAATGGCTGCCTGGACCTTATTCCAAACATGGTTACACCGCTCCTCGCTAAACCACTGCAGGCTCATTCTAACAATTCGGTACTTTTGAATATAGTGATTAATCAGTTTATTCATTAATTTTATTCATTAATTTTAGTTCATTCAATAATTTTCCCTTGAAAAGAAAATGTTAAAATATTTACAATTGTAAATAATTATTGACTCATGGACTCTTTCCTTGGCAATTGGAGAAAAGTATTGCTTTAAAACAATTAAGTGATAAATAGATCATTCTACTTAATAGTTTAATGCAATGTTTGTAATATTATTATAATTTTTTCTTTTGAGACAGAGTCTTGCTGTTAATATGTTGCCCAGGCTGGTGTCAAACTCTTGGGCTCCAGTGATCCTCTCACTTCAGCCTCCTGAGTACCTGGGATTACAGGCATGGACTACTTGTGGCTGGCCTGTAATATTATTACAATTTTTATATGAACTGATTCATATCCATTATATGACATTTTGATAATAGAGTCTTCCCCTACATCAACATAAAATCCGCAAATGTACTAAAAGGTGTTTGTGATATCTAAGCACTCAGAACCACCGTAAACCTAACAGGAATGGTTAAGGCAAAACAGGGACAAAAGGGTCAGAGGTGCCAGAGGGGCCAGTGCCCTTGTCCTGCAGACAGGGCTGGGGTGGACCACGGTCTGCAAAGCACTTACAGTCTCAGCAGCGCCTTGTAGAAGGGCCTCGTGAAGAAAGCGTCCAGGAGGTACTGGTGGATCAGAGCCAGGCCTAGGATGCGGCCACTAAACCTGAACCTGCAACACCGGGAAGGCAGAGAAATTTAAGGGTAAGTGGGAATTTACATTACAAAACATTTCAGTTTGCATTTATATTGGATGTGTTTCCTTATAATATTCATCTTAAGCTGCTTGCGGAATTTGCCCTTGGATGGTGCAGGGGAGGCAGTTGTGTTTGCAGACAGTGGGGAGGAGTTACACGCACTCACAATGTGCTAAGAAGAGAAGCTGAGTGAGCGCGACTATTTAATATTGCCAGCCACACACAAACACAGAGCAAGGTCACAGCTAGGAAGAACTGGTCATGTAGAGCCGTTCTACTCCAGATGTAAGTGCCTTTACTGATTTAAATCCTTGTCTGGGCAATTAGCTCCCTGAAATTCTTGCTGGTGACTTGCCTAGCTAAATGCCAGGCTGCCTGGGGCTGGGTCCCATTATTGTCCTACTCCTAAAACAGCCTCTTGCCTGCTGGTCCGGCACCCTGTGGTTTCCCCAGCACGGGGGTGTTGCCCATCTCTGGCACCCACCTTCCCAGGGGGAGTCTCCCTGGTCTCCTAACTAGGTTTTCACCTAATCACAGACTTAGTTGTGACTTTTCTTAGATCTTTCCCATTGGAATTTCCAACTAACCCATCTCTAATGCCTCTTATGAGGCTCTTTTTAGACTCAAAGGATTTCCTATTCTGTAACTTCTATAAGAATGTTAAAATGAATAGATTATCTGATTCTACAGAATGAGTGTAATGATATTTATTTAAAAAATTTTTTTTGAGACAGAGTTTTGCTCTGTCACCTGGGCTAGAGTGCAGGTAGCTTACTGCAATGTTAAACTCCTGGGCTCAAGCAATCCTCCTGCCTCAGCCTCCCAAGTAGCTGGGACTACAGCCACCACACCTGGCGAATTTTTAAATTTTTTTGCAGAGATGAGGTCTTGCCATGTTGCCCAGGCTGGTTTTGAACTCCTGGCCTCAAGTGATTCTCCTACCTCAGCCCCTCAACGTGCTGGGATTACAGGCAGGAGCTACCACACCAGGCCTCAGCAATATATTTAACAGCAAAAATACAGAAGGTTGCTGGTTATCACCACTCTTCCCAATATTCTATCAGTTCTGGTCACCAAAGTTAATTATAAATGAAAAATCAGAAACAGATTAGAAATAACTTTTATCAAATGCCTATTGGGCCAAAGCCTGATAGTCACTGTATCCTGCTAATCCTTGCAGCACTCTGATTTATAGTCATGGCCATCTTGATTTCACAGGGTAAAAAACTGAGGGTCAATATTCAGCCTCAGGCAAGTCGCAGTGGGATGGCATGCCACCTCTCTTACTCTGGAGAGCAAGGGAGAGGCTGCCGGTCTGGTCTCGGCCAGGCTGTCCGGTGTGTGACCCGTGCAAGGGCTTAATCTCCCCTATTCTCCCTTTCCTCTTCTGGAAAGCTTCACCCTTTCAGTGTTACCTTTTATCACTATTATTAGTAGTCGCATTTTATGGTGGCTATCAACACCTCCTGTGCTAATTAGAAATATTTTGATTCAAGTAACCTTCAACTAGCTTACGCCAAAAGGGGAATTCATTATAAGGCCATGGGGTGTCTCAATAAACTGGGGTCAGGAATGCAGCTGGGCCTCAGGAGCACAGGGGCGCTAGTGACGTAACCCTCCTGCACCCAGTCTCTCTCCTTGGCTCCTCTCTGCGCCCTTCTCCTCTCTCAACACCCCCAGTGGTTTACATCCGGGAGTTCCAGCACCAGAGTGACCAACTTGACTCTCTCTGACCTAGGTGCAAATTTTCAGCACGATTTACGGACTGTTCTCACTTAGTTTGGGTTAATGATGAGTGACCAGGGAGGAAATTTCAGTCTGGTGTCTTGCTCAGTGCTTTGCAGCTAGGCCCACTGTTGCTTGCCTTCCAACCAGGGCTGGGATCAGATGGCGTGCAGGAGAGGGGTCTTTCCTAGCGCTGCAGTGCAGACCACCGACAGAGAATTGTTTATTTGCTTCAAATAGGGTAGACCATAAGATGGAATTTCTAAAGGCAAAATTACACTGGTTTCATTGGCTGACTTGGGCAAAGAATAGGCCCTAGGTATTTTTTCATAACTGTACAAGTAAGCTATGATAATGTGGTTTGTTCTTATGTAAACACAGACAGGATGGCTCTTAGCCAGCCTGGTATATACAGTAAAATATATTCCAGAGCGATGAACTATGCTCTGGGATGTGTTTGTATAAAGCACAATACAGAGACTATACAATTCAAATCCAAAACAACAGCTTAAAAAGCACAGATGGGAATGAAAAAGCCTGTATCACTGATAAACTGGTGCAGGGCACAATTCCACAAATGAGAAACCACCTGGTAAGTGTGTGTCTCCGGGAAGACATGCATTTGACTGCATTTGTTGTTAACACAGGCTGAAAATGTGTAGGGTGTCTGACACAGAAAGAAAACACTCTTCTTTAGTTGCTGGATCTAAGATTAGTGTGTCCACCTACATAGTAAGAAGATAGCTGAAGAAACTATCCAGATAATTTAAACAAAAAAGTGTTATTTTGATCTAAGTTACTTGGCACAAGTAAGAGTTCTGAGGATAAATTAAAATGAGACCCCCCCATAAGTAGCAGAGCCCCTCCCCGGCCCGGGGTGCGCAGGCCCCAGGGCCCTGGTCGGAGGCCCCTGTGTGCGATCTTGCAGGGCCTCGGTCACTCCTTTCTCTGCGGGGGTCCCCAGAGGAGTCTCATCGTCAGATGCTGCAGGCCAGCCCTGCTCCCTGTTTCTGGGCTGCCACTCTTGAGGCCGTGCTCGAACGTGGCTTCTATTGCCTCAGCCTCTGCAACCGTGTGGTCCAGGGCCTCTGCTGCCTGCCCAGGCCACCGTCAGGCCCGCTCTCCTTCCTCCCTGCGCCCACTTTTCCTTTGCCAGTAGGGAAAACCTCCTCCGTCTCGACCTGCTGTGTTAGAGGGCCGCACCGCAGAGCTGCCTGGGCCCTGGGCTTTGAAGTTTCCTTACTGTCCTTTAATCCGTAGGGTGGCCGGTCCTGGCGGGTGTAGGGAACAGCTACCTCCGCTCATTCACGTCTTCCCTCCTGTGCCATTCTTCTGCTTCACTTGGGCTGTATCGCGCCTGAAGAGCCTCCCTCAGAATTTGCTTTCCGTCAGCTCCCCGCTGCGAATGCGTCGGACATGCCCACGTGGGTGCGAATTCCAGTGATGGGCACCACTCCGCCTCCCATCACCACAGTGGCCTCCGTCCCCGGCAGACGCAAATGCACACGGCGTGCAGGGGGCCGAGGATAAGAGGAGACAAGGCGTGTCACCCCTGGAGTCCTCCCCCTAGCAGTGGACGGTGGGTCTCCATAATCTTTTCTTCATTTCAGCCACCTGATGTAGACGACACCCCGATGTGTCAGGAGTGGAGCCTCCCTGGGCGGGGGTGGGGGTGGGGGGAAGAGAGTCTCTCCCTGTGGCTCTGTTTTGGGTACAATTTAAAACCTCCCAGGAGATTCTGAAATGCCATCACCGTAAGACGTGGTCCTGACTTTTAAAAAACACACACATTATATTTTCTCCCTTTATCTACCAATTAGAGACATGTTTCCACAGAAACCCGTTTAGACCCAAGACGCCACAGGACGATGAACGATATAGCGGAATACCAGGAACCCACATTTATCAGGAAAAAAATCCCTTCTGTGGAGGGTCGGTCAAGCACGGGTCTCCTTGGTGAGAAGGCACGCTCTCTTTTCCCTCAGGAAGAGTTCACAGCTCGACGTCTCAATCCACCCACCGACCACGTGCCCACGGAAACTTCCCTTGGACTCTGACACAAGTTATTTTCCTGTCCCTGCTTTCAGTGTGTCGCAAGTTTTAGTTTTTGGTGTCATCGACCCCTTCCTTCCCTCCTGCCGAAGGGGAAAAAAAAAGGGAAATGGGGAATTTTTAAGCCGAAAAAAAAAAAAAACAAAAAAAAAAAACACAAAAGAAAAAAAAAAAATGAGTCCACTCTATCGCCCGAGGCAACATTGGTGACCCTGAGGGGCCTGTCCCCTGGGCTGTCAGTGGGCGGAGCCACCGTGCCCACACCGCGGCGGACACCCTCGGCCATCCGCGAATGGAGGTTTTCACCAACTTTAACAGACTGCAGGATATTTCACTTTATGAGTGCTTTGCTCTTGGTTTGGCCCTCTCCCCTCTGATGGAAACCGGAGTGTTTTCCATCACTGTCCGTCTGCTCCTGGCCCTGGGGGAGCCCGGATCCAGCACGCAGCCTGTTCACGCTGGGACCCTGGGGCAGCTCTGGGAACCAGCAGATGCCACTCTTGGAGCCTGCGCGGGAACGCCATGCCAGATGTCTGGGAGACAAACTGGATCTGCCACTGAAGAAAACAACTACAGCCACTTCGACCTTTCATAAAGACGCAGAGGGCAATTATGGCAGGAGATCTGAAAGGAGCCAACATTATTGGCAGGCATTTATCATAGTTCCATCTGGGTTTTGTACATTTCAGTGAGAGTTCAAAAGGGAATGGAGTTTCACACATTTCCAGCACATTTCCCCAAGTGGCTTAAAGGCCCAGCAAAGACTTGACCCTCACCCTGAGTATATGACCGAGTAAATAACCCTTTGGGCTGCATGCCAGTAATCCAAGAAAGACAGTGTGGTGTGCAGGATGACATTGCGAGGTCTGATGTCAGGCTTCCTTGCCTCCGTTTGAATCTGCTGACCTGTGGGACTTTGGGAAAACTGTTTAACATCCATGGGTCTCAGTTTACTCATCTGTAAAATGGGGCTCATAATGGTATCTACTATATAGGGCAATTGCTATCATGCTAAAAGACTTTGTACAAGGACTAGTGGAGGTCAGTCTATGTGGGAGTTTAATAGATTACTATCCATAGACTGGCATGTCTGGTTTCTTATACCAGACTCAGAACCCTAGAGCTAAGCACCCATCTTAGGTTGAAGGGTGAGAATGTGGACTGGACTGCGGTGGTTAGCCTGCAATTTCCTACTGCA